TTTCCCCAGGGCAGGGAGGGCACGGACGGGGCCTTGTCCCTGCTGGTGTTTGGTGCTGTGGGGACAGAGTGGTGGCAGCTCCCAGCAGAGTGCCAGGGCAAGCCTGGCACGGGGTGAGGGGTGCCAGGCACAGCTGCCCCTGCTCAGGGCTGGGAAATCCAGGCTGGTTTGGGCTGGCGGCAGCGGGATGTGCCCCCTCATGCCAGGGAGATGGTGGTGGCAGCCCATCCCTCCCGGAGCACCCCCGTGCCCGGCTCCCGTCCCAGCCGGGTGTGGAGGGCACGATGGGGCTGCCACCCCCGCCACTCCCCGACCTTGTCACAGCCCTCCAGCACTGCCCGGAGAGCCGGGAAACACCTCCCTGCCCCGCTGGCAGTGCCACCGTGGCACTGCCCAGCCCTCGGGGCAATTCGCAGGCCTGGAGGCCGGGATGGATTGCAGGAAAATCCTTCCGGCCCTGCTGGGTGCTGCCTCTCCACCTCCTGCTTGGAAAAACCTCTGCAATGTCTCTCCAGTTTAACTCTTCCACCTCTCTTCAACTCCCGAGTTTAACTCTCAGCCCTTCCACCTCTCGGAGTTGAGCTCGTTGAAGGTTTTAACTCGGGTGTGCCCAGCTGGGATGTGGCACAGGGCTGTGCCCTTGGAGCAGGGGCTGTGCCCCCAGGGCCACCTTGCCAGGGGCTGAAACGGGAGCTGCTGCGGGGGCAATGCCAGCGGCGGGAGAAGCCGGCACAGCACTTTCCCCTGCCCGATGTGGTGGCACCAGGGCATAAAATTAAGCGACTTCGGCGCAACATGAAACGGAGCATTGATTTTTCCTTCTGTTTTTTTTTTTCCCTTTTCCCCCACTCTTCCCTCTCCCGCCGGACCCCCCAGTGGGGTGCAGGAGGTGCCAGGTTGGGTGCCCCCCCCCTCAGTGGGGTGCAGGGGTGATGCTGGAGAGTTTTTGGTTCTTTGTCCCCCTCGGCAGCGATCCCAAACCTCCCCTCCGCTCTTTGAGGTTTCCAGCTTTGGGGCGGGCGACTTCTCTGGGCCGCTCACATCCCTGTCCCCAAATGTCCCCGTGCCCTGCGGACCCCCGGGTGCTGGAGGAGGGTGACAACCCCCTTCCCTCTGCTGGGGCGCCTCGGAAAACGCTCCGAGGCTTCTTCCCCCGCCTCCAGCTTGGTCCTTGCCAGATGATCCAAGAGCAAAACTATCCCGGCCGCTCCGTGTGAGCGTCTTGGCAGCGGCCGCAGGAGCCTTGTGACCCCGCGGGCACGGCGGGGCCGGGGGGTGCTGTGTGCCAGGGGGATGGGGGGGGGTGCCAGCTGATGCCACCAGCGAGATTTTCCTCCCAAAACACCAAGGTTTTAACCCTCTGTGGGATGTCACCCTGTGGGTGCTGCCGTGGGGTGCGGGAGAGGCTCCGCGTCCCGGCTGCGCTTCCAACCTTCCCCGGGGCTGCCGGGGACACCCCGGGCTGCCTCTCCCCGGGGGCTGCGGGGCTCTGGGGGCTTCACCCTCCTTCCCCGGGGCTGCACCTTCCTTCCCCGGGCTTCCCCCTCCTTCCCCGGGCTTCCCCCTCCTTCCCCGGGCTTCCCCCTCCTTCCCCGGGGCTTCACCCTCCTTCCCCGGGCTTCACCCTCCTTCCCCGGGCTTCACCCTCCTTCCCCGGGGCTTCACCCTCCTTCCCCGGGCTTCACCCTCCTTCCCCGGGGCCTCTGAGAGCCCGGGGCCCGGGCTCCGAGCTGTGCCGGGCTTTGCTTTGTGCCATCCCTGCCCGTGGGGAAACACTCGGAGCTTTTCTGCTTCTCTGTCCCGGGCGGCTCCGTGGGACGCTCCGTGCCATGGTTACGGCCGCAAACAGGGCCGCTGCAGCCCGGTTATTTATATCCCCCGCTCCGGCTCTCCTGCAGGGCTGCGGGCCGAGGGATGGGGATTTATGGGACGCGCTGTTTATACAGCTGCAGGCGGAGCTGGACCTGGGGAGCCCGGAGGGTGAAACACCATCCCCATCCGCGCTGGAGCCTCGCTCGGCTCCAAATCGCGAATTTCCAGCGGTGGCACAGCTGGAGGGCACGGCCCAGGCCCTGTGATCTGCCAGGGCAGGGATCCGTGCCCTCCCAGGGCCGGTTTGCTCGCTCATCCCGCGGCTGAGCGGCTCGTCCTGCGGCGGGGCTGCTCCCCTTCCGCTGCGGTATCGCTGCCGTGCGCCCGGCCGGGGCATCCCCGCGGGGCGAGGGCAAAACAGGACCGGGACAGCACCACGACGGTCGGTGGCACCCCCGTGACAACCCCGGGGCGAGGGCAAAACAGAACCGGGACATCCCTGCCAGGGCCGGTGGCACCCTCGTGCCAACCCCGGGGCAAGGGCAAAGCGGCACCAGGACAGCCCCACGAGGGCCGGTGTCACCCATGTGCCACCCCCGGGGCGAGGGCAAAACAGGACCGGGACATCCCCGCCAGGGCCGGTGGCACCCCTGTGCCACCCCCGGGGGTTTGGGAGTGTGGGGACCAGGACATCCTTGACAGGGCTGGTGGCACCCCTGTGACAATTGCAGGGGCTTGGGAAATTGGGGACTAGGACATCCCTGATAGTGCCAGTGTCACCCCCGTGCCAGTCCCAGGGGTTTGGGAAATTTGGGACCGGGACAGCCCCTCCAGGGCCAGTGGCACCCCCGTGCCAACCCCGGGGCGAGGGCAAAACAGGACCGGGACATCCCTGCCAGGGCTGGTGTCACCCCCGTGCCACCCCCGGGGGTTTGGGAAATTGGGGACTAGGACATCCCTGATAGTGCCATTGTCACCTCCGTGCCACCCCCATCGTGAGGGCAAAACAGGACCGGGACATCCTTGCCAGGGCTGGTGTCACCCCCGTGCCACCTCCGGGGGTTTGGGAAATTGGGGACTAGGACATCACTGATAGTGCCATTGTCACCTCCGTGCCACCCCCATCGTGAGGGCAAAACAGGACCGGGACATCCCTGCCAGGGCTGGTGTCACCCCTGTGCCAATTGCAATGGTTTGGGAAATTTGGGACCAGGACAGCCCTGCCAGTGCCAGCGTCACCCCCATGCCACCCCGGGGGATTTAGGAAAGCAGGACCAGCACATCCCTGCCAGTGCCAGTGCCACCCCCGTGCCACCCCAGGGGCCGGGGCCGAGTCCCGGGAGGGCCGGGCTGTTCCATCCCCATCCCACCCCAGGAGCTCCGAGCATCCCGGGCCCCCAGCTCGCCCCAGGCTGTTTTGGGGTGCAGCCCCTTTGCCCAGGGCCGTTTGGGGGGCACCGGGAGCCGCGTGGTGCCCGCCTGCCCACGCAGGGAGGCCGACTTGGCGCTGCTTCCCCTGAGCTCAGCAGCTTTCCCGGCTCAGCTGCTCCCGGGCCGGCTCGGGCGGCAGCAGATGGCAAAGCCCACCCTAATGAAGATTAATTGAGGAGATTTCGCCTTCCCCGCCGGGTTTTCATTATTGTTTTGGGGAGGTTTCATTCCTGCCGGCTCCCGTCCCCGTGCCCATGTGCTGGGAATGGGGGGGACCCCGCGGGGAGGGGGATGGAGACGGGAATTTGATTCGGGATTTGATTTTGACTCTGTTTCCTCCATCCCCCGCGACGGGGAAGCCCTGCAGCTCCTCTCGCCCTCTCTCTGCCCCCTCCCCATTCCCCTGCCAGCATTCCTGGCTTTTCCAGCTCCTCTCGGAGGGTGGGAAGAGCAGCGAGCTGCGATGGGAGCCCGGCACTGCCGCTCCCCAGCGGGGTTCGATGGAGGGCTGAGGGTGTCAAAACCCCCCTGGGTGCTTGGTGGAGCGGCTGAGAGCAGAATTCCTGCCCGGGAGGGATGGGGGATGCTGGTTCCTGGCTCTCCTCGCTGCCTTCAGGCATCTGACCCTTCCCTAAGCCGCTTAAGCGCCGCCGGCAGCCGGGACGGGGCGTTTGCCCAGGCTTTACAAGTTAATTCCTAGCAGGTGATGCGTTCCCAGAAAGTTCCTTTCCCAGCCAGCCCCGTGGGACCTCTCACGCCTGGATCCTTCCCCAAATCCTCCTGGGATGTTTCCCCACCCATCACGGTGGTGCTCCAGGGTCGGGGCCACCCACAGCGAAGTCCCCGCGTGTGCCCAGGCACGGGGGACCCCCTCCCTGCTCACTGGGCGAGGCGAGGGGCACAAATCTTTGCAGGCTGCGAGATTTCTGCCTTCTCCTCTCGCTCCGTGCTCCGCTGCCCGTGGAATTGCCGGCGAAATCCCTCTTGGGTAATCTTTTCTCGCTGATGGTGCAGCAAGCTCCGAGCTCTGCCCTGCGCCGGGGTTCGCTCCTCAGCCCTGCCCGTGCCGCGGGGGTGCCGCTGGTCCCTGCGGGCTTCACCCCGGAATTGCAGCGCCGGAGGAGAAATAAAAACCCCAATTAATAATTCAGAGGGACAAGGAGCCGGCTCCAAGCTTCTGCCCTGCGGGTGGGGAGCGCCCGGGAGAGCAGCGAGGACAGGGTGGGGACACGGCTGTGACACCCCTGTCCCCTTCCTGCCTCCGGCTCTCCGTCCTCCCTGCTCTGCATCCAGCCCTTCCGCCGTTCCCAAGGAATTTTTTTGCTGTCGGTCCCACCTCCGGCAGCTTTTTTTGGGGGGAAAAGGAGCCAGGTGTCCCCTTTTGGACGTGCCACCCTCGTGCCCCTCATGCCAGGGCTGGGTTTGAGAGACCCCAGCCCCACACGGGGCTGTGGGGTCGGTGGGGAGGGGTCCTGGGTGGGACAAGAGCATCGGTGCCTCTCTGCTGTGTCCCCTGGTGCCTTCCCAGTGGCACTGGGACAACTGGGACAGCTGGGACAGGAGTCACCCCTCTGATGGCCCAGGCAGCGGTTCTGCCCAAAAATCCCACATCGAAAAGAGATGGGAACGTCCTCCTGAGCGGGGGCTGAGCCCCCCGCAGATTTCCCCTGTATTAAATTGAGATTTCACCTTCCCCACCGGGGTTTCATCATTGTTTTGGGGTTTTGGGGAGGTTTCCTTCACCCCTGATGGCCCCCGGGCATCGCCACCATGAGAACACAGCCCTGGGGGTGAGATGGGTGCCACCAGCTCCAGGACAAGGTGCCAGTGCCACCAGGGCTCAGCCAGGCCGTGCCAGTGCCACCCAGCGTGGCGTGGCCACAGCCCCAGTGCCATCCCGAGCAGCGAGTGGCACTTTGCTCGCCGTCACGTGGGCCGGTGGCACAAACCCTCCTCTTTCCTTTTTTAGAATCGCTGGATCAGGGGAAAAAAAATGTATTTTTGGAGGTTTCATTCGCTTCAGCTTCAGAGTCGACTTTCTTTTTTTTTTTTTTTTTTTTTTTTTTTTCCCCCTTTTTTTTTTTTTTTTTTTTTTTTTTTTTTTCTTAATTCCCCTCCTTATTTTAAATGGGCCAAAGCCCCTTGTGCCTGAGCCCAGCACTCGGGGAGGAGCAGCCTCAGAGCAGTTCCTGGTGACTTTTCCACTGGGTTGACACTTCCCAGGCGTCGCTGGCATGTCCCCACGGTGGCAGTGATGCTGGGGACACTCCTGAGGAGCCCTGGTCCCCTCCCTGCAGCACCAGAGCCCTGCGCAGGGCAGGACCCCCGTGTCCCTCCCTGCCTTTAATTAAGAAGCTGCAGGGCTGCGGCAGAGCTGGCACCGAGCCCCAGGGCAGCTCCTGGGTTCCCCAAAGGCTCCATGCCACCATCTAGAGGCAAAACGTGTCCCCAGTGGCTCTGTCACCACCTGGGGACGTCTTGATGGGGGGGTTCAGGCTGTGAGAGGGGGTGGCACTGTGGGCTGGGGTCCCCTGGCTGTCCCTGTGCCCACATGGACATTTTGTCCTTCCAGATTCCTCCTGGTCTTCAGCTGCCTGGTGCTGTCAGTCTTCTCCACCATCCAGGAGCACCAGAAACTGGCCAACGAGTGCCTCTTCATCCTGGTGAGTGACGCAGGAGCGACGCCGGGATTTCCTCTCCCCACTCCACATCCTCAAGGAACCGGGCAAGGCCGCGGGCAGAGCCCCCGTGACCTCGCCGCTGACGGTCCAGTGGCACCTCGGGGGTGGCCCTGGGTGCCACCGCGGCTCGTGGTGGCCCGTCCCACCACGGTGCACCAACCACTGGAAAAGGCAGGGCGCGAGGGGCTAAAAAAGGCAACTTTCCCCAAACTGTCAGGAAGAGCTGACGCAGGGACTTCTCCCGAGTGACGGAGACTAAATTGGGAAGGTCCTTGTGACTTTTCCTGCGAGTAAGCAGAACGGGGGCTTGTTTGTGCGAGAGGCAGGAGGACAATGCTGACAGCGGAGGAAAAGGACCCAGCTCGGGGCGAGGAGGAGAGCGGCGATCCCCGCACGGCCCCGATGGCTCCGACGGCCTCGGCAGGGCCGCCCCGCGCCGCGCTCAGCCCGATTCACTTTGCCCCCCTCAAATCTGAGCCCCTCCACTCTCCCTGTAGTGAAAATGTGGTGAACCCCAGCTCCAGATCAGAAGGCTGAAGGATAGCTTTATTAAAACTATACTATATCACATTAATATACTTAATTAAAGAGTTACTGTACTATTCTACATGCTTACTTCTTACTTACCCATCTAACTCAAACTCATGACTCTGCTGAGAGTCCAACCCAGCTGGATCCATTGGTCACTGACCCCAAACAACTTCACCAGAATCCAACCCAGCCATCACTGCAGGTGAACAATCTCCACACCACATTGCACATGGGGAGAACAAAGGAGCAGAGATAAAGATTGTTTTCTCTTCTCCTCCCTGTGCTTCTCCTGAGGGACAGAATTCTGTCTGTCTGTCCAGAGAATGTGAATGGCACATTTTTCCCCCTCTCAGGAATTCGTGATGATCGTGGTGTTCGGCATGGAGTACATCATCCGTGTGTGGGCCGCCGGCTGCTGCTGCCGCTACCGCGGCTGGCGCGGCCGGTTCCGCTTCGCCAGGAAACCCTTCTGCGTGATCGGTACGGGCTGGCACCGCGTCACTCTGCCTCTTGCAGGGCTAAAAATAGCTTCTAAAATAGTTGATAATTGTTGGGCATGCACTGCTAGTTTGGTCGTGGTCAAAGGGGTTAAAAGTGTTGTTATAAGAAATTTCGCACCTTGTCAGAATCTGAGGTATTGATGATTCCGAAATTGCAAAAAGTCTCTGTCTTTCTGCCCCGCTGCCAAAGCAGAAGCCAGAATTGGTCTGTGCTGGTTTCCAGGTTGTTTATTCTGTTGATCTCTCACATGTTCTGCTGCCCTGCCCAGCTCTGTCCTGCAGGGCAGCGTGTGGGGCTCTGCCCTCAGTGGGATGTGACAAACATTAAATACCAGAAACTCCCTGGGCTGAATTTACAAGAACATGCCAATATCTGTCACCTACGTTGGACAGTGTGTCCCCAGCCTGAACCAACAGAAAAATGCCAACACCACAGTGAGACATGGAGGGCATGAAGAAGGAGGAAAAGGACAAGGCACACCCAATTTCCTCCAGCTTGTCCCCTTTGGACCCCTCATCTAGAATCCTAAAATTTTACTTTTGCACTCATGCCACACTTAATTATTACTGATATCAAACACTCAGAGCTGGTAATTGATCCTGTGAGATTGAAAACTCTTTTCCATGGACAGAGATCACAGCCAGTGTCTCTGGGGCTCTGTCCAGGGGGGTTCCTGACCCCTGCCAGGGTCCCAGACCTGCCAGGGCAGCCAGAGGGAAGCCCTGGATTCCCACAGCACCTACGTAAAGTACAGGCTGTCTCTTGCAGTGTTAAAAATAGGTTGTAAAATAGTTGATAATTTTTGGGCGTGCACTGTTAGTTTGGTGGTGGTCAAAGGGGTTAAAAGGGTCATTATAAGAAATATCACACCTAATTAAATGCACCACCCCCCAGCAAAACGAGCCAGCCTGGACAGAACCATCATGGGCCAACCAAGCGCCTTAAACCTTCATGCAAATGAAGGATCCAAACAGAAACCAATCCAAAGGGACTAATGCAACAAAATAATATAATGCATTAGTGCGACACGACAGCTTTGCAGGGGATTTTATTGTGTATTTTTATGGGCGGAATTCGGGATTACCCACGCACCGCCCTGAGCCTCTGTGTCCCCCCAGATTTCATCGTCTTCATCGCCTCGGTGGCCGTCATCGCCGCGGGCACGCAGGGCAACATCTTCGCCACGTCGGCGCTGCGCAGCATGCGCTTCCTGCAGATCCTGCGCATGGTGCGCATGGACCGCCGCGGCGGCACCTGGAAGCTGCTGGGCTCCGTCGTCTACGCCCACAGCAAGGTGAGAAAAATCCCCCAACGACCTTTCTCTCCTCTCGCAGCCCCTAAACTGCCAAAGCCCACCCTGGGTCCAGGGTGGCTCCGTGTGGTGGAAATATCCCTCCTCCAACCCAGGATTCCAAAGAAAGGCTCAGCAGTCTCTTGTTTGGTCTCATGGTTATTTATTGCAAGTTATCTAAAAGATTTTCTCCTGGGGCTGCTGTGGTTTGCTCACAGCTCAGGCAGAGGCACACACACACCCTGACATCCTCTCTGACCCCGACTGCTTCTTCTCTCCTGCCCAGGGCTGCTGCTGTCTTTTATATGGTACATTACATGTGACATGTTCACAGTTTTCCCCAATGCCTATTACCTATATTAAATGGTGCTTTTCTATCTTTTATATGGTACATTACGTGTTACATGTTCACAGTTTTTCCCAATGCCTATTACCTATATTAAATGGTGCTTTTCTATCTTTTATATGGTACATTACGTGTTACATGTTTACAGTTTTTCCCCAATGCCTATTACCTATATTAAATGGTGCTTTTCTACTCTAAACCAACCTGTGAGTGCCAACATCACCAAGAACACGGAGGTAAGGAAGGAGAAAGAGGGAGGACAGGGCAGGCCCAAATCCCAAATCCATCTTAAACCCTCTGACCCCCATGTACAAAACCAAAACCCCCCTGTACAGGACTCAGAAATTCTTCCCTCTACTCTGTGACTACTTCTACTCTAATATCTAAACTTTTGTGACTTCTTGTTCTCCCTTCAAGGTTGGTAAATCATCCCATGGCTCAAACCCAAAATCACAGCTGTTTCCAGCTGTGCCAGGGTCTCAAATGCTTCTGACCTGGGCCTGGAACNTGCCAGGGTCTCAAATGCTTCTGACCTGGGCCTGGAACCTCCAAAAATGTCTGAGGGACATTTTGAGTTCTGACACTAAATTATCAGGCTAGCCCAGAGATACGAGGCCTCGAGGGGAAGAACATCAGGAGATGGCAGAGATTTCCAAAAGAGGCTCTCAGCCCGATGTGGCTGTCCAGCTCTTTATTCCATGGTCTGAGGGGAAGAGTGGGGGAAAAGTGAGTGAACAGGAAATGTCAGGGGTTTATCCAGGCTCTAGACAGGATGGGCTTCTCTGGCTCTCCACCAACCCCGTTGGGGCAGGAAGGAGGAGACCAGGCTAATCTTGATCGGAGTCACAGGGGTCCCGGGCAATGGGGGCGAAACGTGGCCTGAGAGCAACGCGACAACCCAGGGGCATCCCCTGAGCTGGGGCATCGCCTCTGAGCCGCCGTGCCCCCGCAGGAGCTGATCACCGCCTGGTACATCGGCTTCCTGGTGCTCATCTTCGCCTCCTTCCTCGTCTACCTGGCCGAGAAGGACGCCAACGTCCAGTTCGCCACCTACGCCGATTCCCTCTGGTGGGGCACGGTAAGCTCGGCCTCCAGGGCGCCCCGGCCCCGGGAGGGGAGCAGGAGGGTGGGGGAGCGCCCTGCAGGCCCCCCGCTGCTCTGCCCCCCGGCAGGTGACCCTGACCACCATCGGCTACGGGGACAAAGCGCCGCAGACGTGGCTGGGCCGGATGCTGGCGGCCGGCTTCGCCCTGCTCGGCATCTCCTTCTTCGCCCTGCCCGCCGTGAGTAGGGCCGGGAGAGGGTCCCCTCTGCAAAAAGAACGGGGAATGGGCACAGCCCCCCGTGTGTGGCACCCACGGGCTGTCCCCTCCCGTCCCCAGGGGATCCTGGGCTCCGGCTTCGCCCTCAAAGTGCAGGAGCAGCATCGGCAGAAGCACTTTGAGAAGAGGCGGACCCCGGCGGCCAACCTGATCCAGGTGAGGCAGGGCTGGTGTGTCCCACCCTTCCCCTTCCCCTTCCCCTTCCCCTTCCCCTTCCCCTTCCCTTTCCCCTTCCCCTTCCCGGGAATGCTCCGCTGTCCCCTCATTGCTCCACCTGTCCCAGCTCCGCATCTCGGTCTCTGCCGCCTGCGGGGGCGCGGATGGATGGAGGGGTCCGGGAGGGTTCCCCCATCCCGATGGATCCCGATTCCCGGGAATCTCGCTCCCCGCAGGCTGCCTGGCGCCTGTACTCCACGGATGTCAGCCGGCTGTACCTGACAGCGACCTGGTGTTACTACGACAGCCTCCTGCCCGCCTTCAGGTAGGCGGGAGGGGGTGAGGGCTGGGTGGGGGTCCCGGTGGGTATGGACAGCCTGGGAAACCGGGAAGGACCTCCTGGAACCCCCGGGAGCTCGGTGGGGTCGAGTGGCACCGACATCTTCCTGTCGCTGTGGAGGCAGGACGGGAATGAGGAGACTGATCAGAAGGCTGTGAGAGTAAAACTCCGGTTTATTTAAAATACAGCGCTCTTCTATACAGAGCTTGTGAGGATCAGCTTCATTGGACCAATGGAATAAAACCTGAGAGTAAAACTCTGGTTTATTTAAAGTACACTGCTCTTTTATACAGAGCTCCATGAGGATCAACTCCTGAGAGTAAAACTCCGGTTTATTCAAAATACCCCGCTCTTTATATAGAGCTCTGTGAGGACCAACTCCATTGGACCAATGGAAAAAAACCTGAGTAAAACTCTGGTTTATTTAAAATACATTGCTTTTTTATACAGAGCTCTGCGAGGACCAATGGAAAAAAAACTGAGAGTAAAACTCTGATTTATTCAAAATACCCCTGCTCTTTTATACAGAGCTCTGTGAGGACCAACTCCATTGGTCCTGAAGTGAAAACAATTCACCCCATTGGTGTACAGTGCTTGACACACAGTGATAGAACTTAACTATAAACAATGTGAACAACAAGAGAGATAAAGAATTATTTACATTCTTCTCCAGCTCTTTCCCAGGCTTCTGCCTGGCTGGAAACTCTCAGTTTCTCTCTTTGACCAAATCTGAGACCCACACCTTCCCAAGGTGGGAGTCTGCTGAAGGAGCCGCCTTCATCCTCATCATCCTCACAGCGCCCATCCCATCCCATCCCATCCCATCCCATCCCATCCCATCCCATCCCATCCCATCCCATCCCACCTCACCCACCCAAAGCCTTCCTCCAGCAGCACAGGGAGTGGGGAGGGCACTTGGGGACCACACGGCTGCCGTGGTGGAGCTGCAGCTGGTCAGGAGCTGGTTCCAGGCGTGGATCCAGTGGGAGCCCCGTGTCCCGTTCCTGCAGCGTGGCCCTCCCGCGATCCCGGGGATTTTACCACAAAGGCTTCCCAAAGGTTTTCTGGAGCTCTCTTCCAGATCCCGAGGGTTTGTCACATCCCCGTGAGCATCCCTGCCCTGCTCTGGCCGTGTGACAAATCCATCCTTCTGTCCCACTCTTCATTTTTCCAAAGGCAGAGTTTTCAACAGCCACAGCCCCGAGTCCCAGCTTCCCGAGCATCACCCCAAACCCTGGGCATCTCTGGGGGCTCTGCTGCCCCTCCTGCTGTGCCAGGAGCTGTTTTCCCTGCGGTGGAATTCCCACAGAGCCAGATTCCAAACCTGCTGGCTCTGAGCTTTCCCCTTCTGCCCGGAGCCCAGGATCTGATGGTGACAGGTTCCCATGTCCCCACCCCGTGCCAGGTTTGTCCTTGCCTCATCCATCCCCCTCAGCACGTCCAACCCTTCCTTCTGTGGAATCCTATCCCAGACCCTTCCCCAGCCCCATCACCCCCAATTAAGAAATGTTTTTTTGAACAAAAATCTGATTTTTTTGTTTTGTTTTGCTCTGGTTTTGCTTTGGTTCACGCTCAGGAGGATCCAGCGCCGCTCAGCCTTGCTTTGCTGGTTTTGTTTGCTTTGGAAATTTTAATTTCTCCCCCTTTTTTTATTTCACCCCGACCTCAGAGAGCTGGTTCTTATGTTTGAGCATTTGCACCGGGTTCGCAACGGAGGATTTAGGAATTCAGAGGTGAAAAAATGGCCTGACAGATCCCCACCGCCCTATCACTCCTTCACCCCTGCCCAGAAAAGCTTCAGCCTGGCCGTGTGCTCAGGGGAAAGGTAGGAGGGGACAGCCCCCGTGTTCTCCCTCCTCTCTGCTCTGTCCCCTCTGCTCCTCTGAGATGTCACCGTCACTGCCACACCACACCCGAGGTGCCACCACCCCAAACTGGAGCTGCTCCTCCCGGTGCTGGGCATCCCTCCTGCTCCCGGTGCTGCTCCCGGTGCTGCTCCCGGTGCTGGGCATCCCTCCTGCTCCCGGTGCTG